TATAAAAATTAAAGAAGTGGTAGCACTGCTCCATACTGCACTAATGAGTCCATATTTGGAATATTACCTCCAGTTTTGGATATCACAAAATTAAAAAAATATGCTGAGAACCTAGAGCAGGGGTGTCAAACTCAAGGCCAAATCTGGCCCATGTGGCCATCCTGGAAACTGTAAGGGTCCGGCGCACACCATCCTGGGTGCGTGTGCACACACAGGCCTAGTTCTCCTTCGCTACAAGCAGAGAAACTAAAGTATTTTGTGTGACTACCATTAAAACAATTAGTTCAGACCTTCCAATCTCGCAATATCTTTTTTTGTGTGTGTGAGAACTTGGAAGGTCTGAACTATTTTTTTTTTTACCGTAGCCCCACAGGCTACTTTTAGTTGCTCTGCAGGTGGTGGCAGCAAAAGGAGCTGGAAGTGTTAGTGAAGGGACATGGCTGCCCTGGGTGGCAGTGTGCATGTGAGGGTTTGGCCTGGCTGGCCTGGCTGAAGGACCCTCAGGTAAGGTGGGTCAGGGCAGCTCTGCACCCCCTGACTTGCTACATCCTCTACCCCCTTTTGCATCATTTCGTTCTTTGCCACTTCTTCTCCTTGCTCGCCTCCATAATCTCGTAGGAGGCTGAGCAATGCACTGGTGCAACGGCCACAGTGAGAGGCAGTGGGGGGTGGAGTATGAAGCAAGGATTCGAAGCTGCTGGCTTACCTGAGTGCCCCGCCAGCCATGCACTGAAGTGCCTCAACTGCAGCTGAAGAGAAAGGGACAGAGGAGGGGACCTCTCCAAACTCCCTCTGTTTGTGTGTGTGTGTGTATGGGAGAGGGAGCGTGCAATCCCTGCTTTAGTTGGAGCATTTAAGCAGCGGCAGTGGGGTAGCAGCTGTTTTTCTCCTTGTTCTGCCCACTCAGGCAGAAGCAGCTACTTAATGATTGCCCCCTCCCCAACCAGCCAGATAAGCGAGCAGCACACCAGGGCCATGGATGGCATTGGTTCCTGAACCCAGCCGATTCCGATTCCCTGGCTGGCCTGTCAGAATATTCATGAACTGGCAGAGACATGGTTAACAAGGTCAGCCAATGGGAGCTGAATTGGGGGCTGAGAGTGGAAGGAATCTGGGCATGGCTTAGCTCTGTACTCTCAGCTCTAAAGTGAAACAGAAAATGATCTCTGCTTGAAGCTGCTACTTGTGGTTTTGCTTGTAACCTTTACCATGTTGGAAGAAACTACTAATGGTATTGTAAACTGTACTTCATGGTATTATGTATATAAAGAAGTTATTGAATCCTGCTGAATCAGTCATCTGTGTGTGCTTTCTGGAGTTGAATTTGTGCTGTAAAATCTAACACGGCCTTACTGTTTGAAGGCTGAATGAAGCCTTCAACTGAGCGAGGAAGCACTGCAGGGCCAGACCCTTCACACCTGCATCCAGCCCACCAAAGTTCGCTGCGCCGGGACAAGAATGCAGAGCCTGCTACCCTTGGGCAGGGAGGAGGAGGAGAGGAACAGAGAGGCTTTGCGCTGGCCGGCCAGGCAGGGAGCAGGGCAGACAGGGCTGGCTGGCTGGTTGGGGAGGGGGCAATCATTAGGTGGCTGCGCCGCTTCAATGGGGAGGACAAGGAGAAAAATAGCTCCTGCCCCCTTCCCCCACTGCTGCCACTTAAATGCTCCAACTGAAGCAGGGATTGCACGCTCTCTCTCCCATATGCACAGAGAGAGAGTTTGGAGAGTCCCCCTCCTCTCTGCAGCGGCAGTTGTGGCACTTCAGTGCTTGTGTGCCAGACCACTCAGATAAGCTGGTATGGGGTGTGGGGACAGCCTTGCTTCTTACTTCATCCCCCACTGCCTCACTGCTCAGGTGGCTCCTGCCACGCGTGCTGCTACCAGAAGCTTGGCTGAAGATCATTCTCTCTCCCATACACATACACAAACAGAGAGAGCTTGGAGAGCCCCCCCTTCTCTCTCTGTCTCTGCAGCGGCAATTGTGGCACTTCAGTGCCTGTCTGGTGGGGTGCTCAGGTAAGACAGTGTGGGGCATGGGGGGTTTCAGCCGGTACATTGTTCCAGGGCCCATGGACCTCAAAGGGGGCCCCATGAAGGGGATTTTTTATATTTTTACAAACCAAATTTAAAAAAAGAAAAACAGTGGGACGGTGTGTCAATTACATGCCCAGGCGGGAGGGGGGGTGGGGAGTGGGGGTGGTGGCTCACAGGCTGTGAGCAAAACACTCTAAAGCTGGATCAAATCAATTCATCAGAGGGCAAACGGTAAGGAAGGAAGGCATGTCCTCATGCAGCAGCGGCAGCAATGATCGCCTCCACCTCCTTCTCTCTCATTCTCCCGTTCTTCTCAATTCTTAAGGAACTTCCACTTCTCATCCTGTTGAAATCCTTCATGCCAAAAGTAAGGAGGCGCCACTGTTAGCTTAGTCGGGAGGATTTGCGCGCATCAGCCATACCAAAGGGTAACTGGCAAGAGGTGGCTTTAAAACACAGGAGGATAAAGTGGAGGAGAGGGTGACAGGCGAGGGAAGCGTCATTTTTCTTTCATTTGTATAGACTAGAATGAATCATTATTCTCCCCCTTGGAAAAAAAATCTATTTGTGGGCTGTGCAGACTCCAGCGTTGCTTCTCTGTACTTTGTCTTCTCTCCCCCCCACCGCATCCTTATCTACTTCACTGCCCTAGCAGCCCCCCGCTTTTTTAGTGAGCCTCTCACAGGATGAGGGGGAGGGGAAAGGGAGACCCTTGTGGTCGTGTTAACTTACATAATATGTAGTTGAGGGGAGCCATATTAGTCTTGTTCCAGCACTTAATAATCCGCTTGGCCGCCCTGCCCCCCACTGCCTTGCTGCTCAGGTGGCTCCTGTCGCCCGTGCCACTGCCAGCTCCATGGGACAAGATCTCATTAAGTAGTTAAGCGGAAAGTATTTTGGGGGGGTGGAGGAGCAGGAGACAGGCAAACACTTTTTGCACCAAGAATGAAAGTTTCTAGGACCCCGACACTCTGCAAAAGAGGATGGGTGCCTGAATCTGTGTGATATTATAGCATCCAGGGCCGTCCATTCTCCTCACGAAAAGCATTTCCAGACCAAATCTCTCCCTTTCTCAGAGGCAAAGAAACAGAAACAGAGAGGAGACAGATGTTTGCAAGGTGAATCCTTGTGGCAGGAAGGGAAGGAGAAGCATGAGGTATCTTAGTGGATGGGGAGGCCTTAAGGGCCTGTTCTATCACTACCCCCCACCCCAGCCTTCACCATCCTGAGATATCTCATGTGCACATTGGTGTTCTTGAATTGAGCTTTTAGGAAATTACACACACACACACACCCTTATGTATTGCTAGCTGCTATTTCCAGTGGGGAAAATGAGATGAAGCAAGTAGGGAAAATACTTTCCTTTGCTATATTTCCAGTCTGAATTAGACCATGGCAGGGTCCCTACAGGAGAGCCCTTTTAAGGATTATATATTAATAGAAAAGCAACTAACTAGTTCTTAAACACTAAAGGCGTTGCACATAAAAAACAGAGGAGCTCTGATCAACTATCATAGTGATCATTTTGACAGTTTTGCTGTATTACCCTATAGTCTGTGGAAGCCCCCACAAAATGCAAGCATGAGATATGTTCTCAGTATTACAAATGTCCACAAATTACTAGCAAAAGTGGCATTTGATGTTTCCTCTTTTGCATTTGAGCATCCAAGAAGGGACAGGAAAGAGAAAAAGAAAGAGGGCAAGATAGCAAGGAAGAAAAAGGAAAAAGGGGAAGGAAGAAGAAAGGAGAATGAAGAGGGAAGGAAAAAGAAGGGAAGGGAAGGAAGAAAGGAAGATGATAATGAGAGTGAGTGAAGTCTGAGGTAAATCCTGCCTTAGCACTTGGCCACCAGCAATCCTGTTGCTTTTCACCATCCCCTTGTCCCCTCCTCCTGACCTCTCCTGACCTCTCCTGGTGGTCTCCCATCCTATCACTGAGGATGCTTTGGTTACAAAGCCTGGTCTCTTCGTAAGGAGGTGGAGCGGGCTTCCGACCCACACACTTTGCCCTCCCACTCACACCATGAACAACCTGGCCAAGGAGAGCAAGCACAGCAGCAGTGGGAGCTGGCCACGCCCATCCCTGGCCATGCCCCCCACCCCCCAAAAGCCAACCATAATCCTGATGAAATCCTTCAATGAAATTGAGTTTAACACCCCTGACCTAGAGAATGCAGAAAAAAGCAATTAAAAATGATAAGAACTCCGGAGACAAAATTGTGTGAAGAATAGCTAAAGGAACTATATATATTTTAGTTTAATGAAGGGGAGACATGATAGCAGTCTTCCTGAAGGGCTCCACAGTATCAATTTATTCTCCATAGTACCACAGGGTAGGACAAGAAGCAAAGGATGGAAGCTAAGCCAGAGAGAGATCCAACTTGGAAATAAGGAAGAATTTCCTGGCGGGAAAACAGTTTGCCTCCCAGAGTTTTGGTGCTCTATCACTGAAGGTTTCCAAGAAAAGATTGGATAACCATTTGCCTAAAATGGTATGGAACACCTGCCTTGGGCATAGGGTTGGACTAGAACAACTCAAAGGTCCTTTCCAGCCCTATTTTCTATTATTCTAAATGCATGTTGCAGCTTATTCAATAAATAGGTATTCCTCTTCCAACCCAACCTGTCTCTTTGCAGATACATTGAGAATGCAGATACAGTGGTGAAGTACCAGTGTCCAAAGCAAGCCACCTGTGCACAGTTCTTTCACTGTACAAACTATATCGTTATATACTTGTATCCAGATTTCAGGTACAACTGTACAACTTGCAAATTTTGCCGCATGCGTTCTCTTGTCCCCACAAATGCATGTGTCTGGAGAAAACTGGTATATGTATTTCCTGGGTACAAAGAGGAGTAGCAATAAATATTTTCTTGCCAAACAAATTTTAGCCATCCAGTCCTGTTTAGAATACTTTGGTGCTCTGAGATTCTGCTCTAACCCTTCTACTCTTTCTCCTCCTCCAGTATATTGGCAGCTTAGATGTACCTCGGCCAAACAGCAGGGTGGAGATTGTGACTGCTATGAGACGCATCCGGGTAAGTGATGGCAATACTATTGCAGCTTATTTATAGATCTTTGAAACATCTCAAAGAGAGATTGGGTTACCCTATTCACTATCACTGTCATTCAAATGTGTGCACTTTTAAGTTAAATACTGGCTATCTGCAGTATTACCATTCAATTCTGAATATTCTCCATCCTATTAATTCCTCCAAATCTGGCTTTATTTGGGAGGAGAGTAAATTAGTCAGTAAACAAGATCCTATGGGTGGAAAATCTAATGCACTGAATTTGAATGCCTTAGAGGTGTGATGGTGAACCTATGGCATGAGTGCTGGAAGTGGCATGCAGAGCCATCTCTGCTGGCACGTGAGCCATCGCCCCAGCACCATTCCACTGCATGTGTGCATGTGCTTCCCACCAGCCAGCTGATTGCTAGGTATCTGCTGCGCACGCGTCGGGGTGGGGCGCTTGTGGGAGACATGTAAGCAGGGGGCACGGGAGCATGAGGGTTTGCATGTGTATGCACAGGGGGCAGCGAGAGCACGGGGGGTCACATGCTTGTGCAGGGGGCAGTGGAAGTGCAGGGGGTCATGTGCACATCTGCAGCGGGGTGGGAGCGTGGAGGTCATGTGTGCATGTGTAGGGGGCAGGGGAGCTCGGGGGGGGTCATGTGTGCATTGCATTATGGGTGCAGGCACATGTGCACACACACATGCATCCGTGCACTTTCAGCACGTGAAAACAAAAAGGTTAGCCATCACTGCCGTAGTGGATTCATGTAGTGGACCTGTCACTCTTGCTCTCTGGATAAGTACACATGCACGCGTGCAATCACACACACACACACACGCCAGATTTTCTTTCAGTCAGAATACCTCTTGAAAATCTGGAAGCACATTGCAGTTATCCTTGGAAAACCAGAGCCACACTTGCTATTCTTCATGGTTTGTAAACGTCAGTCAGTGTTTGACAAACTGGGAGGGGAGGAATCAGTGAAGAGGTGGGATTGTTGAGAGGGGACTTAAAAAACAACAGTTAAAGCAGTTGGATTGGCAGGGAAGGGGGTAGTCATGCTAATAGCAGCTCTGGCACAGGGCATTCCCTCCATTAGCTTTTGGCTAATCAGTGGTGTAAGAGTGACAAAAGATCAGCCCTGGGCAAAATGAACTCCCTAATCTGTAGATTAGTGTAGTGTTATGCCATGTATAAAATACATATTAATAATAGATTTAATTATGAATATATCTTAGTTAGCATCATTGGTGGACGGTATTCATTACAAAGTAATCATAAATTGGCTTGTCTCTGCCTGAAGGAGTTTACCATAAGAATTCAGGGCAGAGAGGAACAGGAGATGGGTAGAGGCATGAATTAGTAGGGGAAGATTATACATTGCTCCCACATTTTGAGAAAGCAGGTATTGGGAAAAGCCTTAAAAGGCTTTTGATCTGTATTATAAGGAGGCCTAACAGATCTGCACTTCTACATCAGTGCTGAAGGATGATTGTTTTGTTTGCTGTAAGACTGGAAGTTAAGTAATGTTGACTGAAGATATTTGATCTGCACAGATATGTATTGCTGGTATCTATATCTCGTCTGTTCTATCATGTGCTTATGAAGAAAATAATAGAAATGCCACATATTTCTGTCTTAGTCACTTGCTCTGAATTCCTTCTTGAGTTAAGAGGCAGAAAAGAAGGGGAATTTGGCCATTTACTGTTCCAGTCCTTTGACTTTTTCTTTTGTATTTGTGGTTTTCCTTTAACAACCAATATTTTTTGTAGACAGTCTATATTTTTCACACAATGTTAACAGTAATAATACAGTTACATAGTTTTTATCTTTCAACTTCTAACCTTGATATGCTCATTATAATTATAATAGATTTTTTTATGTATCAATATATATTATACTATTTTCCTAATTTGTACTTATTTCTTTATTTTCCCATTTGTTGGGGTTTTTCTATATTCACCTCACTATCTTTAAATAATACTATTCCCTCTTTATGATTTTTTTATCACTTTCTGCAAAAATATATGTAAACATCAATAACATTTCTTATTACTATATACTTATTAACTCCTGCTGAGTCACTAATGTCTTAATATTATAAATATCATTCAGTGTTCCGCCACATTTTCAATGTCTCAATTTTCTGTAAGCACCAATATAACTAATTGTTAATAAAATTTAATCAGTCCTGAAATTATATCTCTAAGTCCCCTGAATTTATAATCCTTAATTATGGATTGTGCTGAAATGAGTAAATTGACATTTGAAATTAGAGAACAAGAGGATAAACAATTTTATAAGATATGGGATTTATTTTATCAATGGTTAGAAAAAAAAATATGGAAATGAAATATGTTAGAAAAATTTAAAGGTAATAGAATGATGTAGAATATATGTATAAAAATTTATAACCATTGGAAGAATGTATAATATAAATGTATAGCAAATATAGAATATCTTGTATAAAATGAGTAAATAACAGTTTAGTCAAATAAGTGATAAATAGTTGATAATTAATGTATACATATATATTAGGTTGATAATATTAGAATTTATATAAATGATAAGTGAAGACTATGGAGAGGAACCACAAAAGATATGTAACCAACCGACACACTATATGTATGTATGTAATTTGATGATGGTTTTATGTTCTATGTTTTGTTTGTTTAAGTTTGTTTTTTTTTAAAAAATTGTTTTTTTTAAAAAAAATGTAATCCTTGAAAACTATATGTTCTAGTATATATTTTGTACTCTGTTAATCATAACAATACATTTAAATATGTCTAGTCATAATCTTCCACCTCCTAATCTCAAATATATTTATGCTTATAATAAATTCTATTATATATTTATATATGTGCTACTATTTTCCCAATTTAAACCTTCCACTTATTTCTATTAGTTTTTAATACAATTACTGTATTGCAAATCATTATGTCTCTATCCATCATCTATTAGTATTTTTAGAATTTCATCAATTATTGATTTTTTGGTGATTTTTTTTTATATTTCTCTCTTGGAATCCTATATGTCTTTCTAGCATTTTTACACAAACTGATCGTTTCCTCTGCCTTACCCTTTATCCCCTTCTGCTGCATCTTTTGAATATCCATCCATAACCCTTTCATTATTTTTGGAAAGTATTCCTTTCCCCCCCTCTATTCTATTGTAAGTTCTTGAGGGATTATCTATTTGATTTTTAGTATTTATTGTTTTACTGTCTTTTCAGTGTTTTTATCTACTTGTAACTTGTTTTTATCTTGTAATTTATATTGCTTTGTCTCCTCCACCATTCCTTAATTTCTCATCTATCTGCTGGGTGTTATATTCATCTTTTCCCATTTGTTGAGGGCCTTCTACTTTCTCATCTTTATCTTTAAATATTCCCATCAACTCCTTATAATTCTTTGTCACCAATTGTAGCATTTCTTCATTAAACTTTATTGTCTTCTGCTGGGTCATTTGGTACTAAGTTAATATAGCTCTAATATTTCAATATCCCAATATCTAAAAACTAAAAAAAATCAATTATTAATAAAATTTAGCCAATCCCAGAATTATTCCTCCAAGTCCTCTATATTTCTAGTCCTTAAAATGCTATAAGTTTGTGCTTTACAGTCTTTATAATTTTCAGTTTACACTTCTCAATTGTCCAGATTTTAAAGTCTTATTTATCTTTTCTTTCTATTGCTTTTCTTCTTTTGCCTCATAGGATAATCTGTCACATGATATTAATAAACCAAATCCAATTTAGCCCACCAGGTTTCTTCAGATCTTTCAAATCCACTTTCCAGTGCACATTTCCAATAAAGTTTTAGTGCTTAGTTTAGTTTGCCTTAGGGATTTTCAAAAAGCTTGGTAAATAATTCCCAGCATCCAAATTGCCTACTAAGATAAAGTCAAGGTCAAGTAGCCCTCAAGGTGTTGTTTACTTTCTCTCCATTCTTTGCTTCCCTTTCACACATTGCAGTAATCTTCTTCCTCCAGTAGATGGCTCCTCTGCTCCCAATTCCAGCATTCAACCATGTATAAAAGTCAAAAACAGCTGATTTTCAGGGAGGTTAGAAATAGAATTTAGAAAAGCAATTTGTCCCAATAATAACTTTTTACAATGTTATTCAGCTTTTCCAGGCTTTCTATATTTTAAATCATCCTTTAGGTACTTCTTTTACTTCTAAGTCTTTCATCTTCCTCTTTAGTTATTAGTTTTTGATTTTTTTTCCATAAATCCAATCATCCCTTTCTTAACATTTGGAGGTCCTTTTTGGAACTTTTTACTTGGGTTAAATCTCTAAGGTAACAGTTGGGAAGTTATCTCACCTAGTTTCACTGCTCTGTCCACACACCACTGCAGCACAAGATCTTAGTGTCCCAGTTGTCCCAGCTTGTGACAGACCAAAATGGCCATTGTTCCTGCTGCTGTTTGGGAGAGCTTTCTTCGGATCAATGAAGTTGCGGTTTCCTCATGATCGACGAAGTGCCTCGCCTTTCTTCACTGCCCCTCCAGGGCAATTTAACTACGTAGGGTGTCCGAGCAAGCAGTTGCTGGCTGCATTACATGGAGCCCAGTGGAGCTCCACTATTTTCTATTCGTTCTCGCTGCAACATCAACCAGAAGTCCCTTTGAATTTTTCATAAAGGACTGCTTCAAACTTTCATTTGCTACAAATATAATTAGATTGTTTTTTAAGATAGAAGACAAATTAAGCCACTGGTTTTTGTGCTTGATTCTGCTGATCCATAAAACATCACAATGAAAGTTCACTTTCATGTTATTCCTGCTACTTTAAGTGTATATGCTGATTCAAAATATGTGTCTTGTTGGTGAATCCAGAAAAAGGAACTTCTGGAAAAAAATTTCCCAACAGTATTAAACTTTACTGAATAAACCACATTGGCACAGAAGAAGTGAAACCAGCTCTCAGTTTCCCATGCAAAAACAGGCATAGTTATTTCCCCCTTCTCCCTATGGGCCACCCACAGTCCAAAATGTCCACCAATCACTCCTGTTCAT